ACTGTAAACGGACTTTCTATGCAACACATTCAGATTAATTCTGTTAAAGCTCAACCCTCACGTTAAATTTGACCCGTTTGGACATTTGACAGCCTAAACTTCATTGTTTTCGCCTGAAAATTGTACAAACTTTTGTACAGGTGCTACACATTTTCATACACTGAGGCTGTTTCAGGTCAAACGTGACTCGTTGAGATGGATTCTAGATCTACCAGTGTGGGTCCAATCAAGGAAAATGGTGGTTTTAGGGAATCTTGAAACTGTAGAACTGTACGGCTGCCGATCAGGTGGCAGAGTGGTTGTCCTCTGGTCGCGAGGCTGGTGGTTCGATCCCCCGCCCCTCCACAGTGTCCTCGGGCAAGACAGCGGCAGCTCTGTGGCCACTGATGTATGAACGGGTGAATGAGAAAAGAGTGTCAAGCTTTGAGCACCAACAAGGTAGAAAACCGCTATTTAAGTGCCGACCATTTACAGGCCGTGTTTTGTGTGCATTATTTATTCACGTTTGTTTATCATTGATTGAAACCCAAACTCAGGTGTTAATGGCTCCTTCAGGATATCTGGATCTCCCAACTAGTCAGTCAGAACCGATGAAGCGGTTCAACGTCTTCAAGGAACTCAAGCAAGTCCAGTTGCTACGATTAGTCCACGAGAAGAACCACGACCTGGATGACTGAGAATCTTCACAGACATCTTACATTTATTTACATTCACATAGGCTTTTTAGACATTCTAAATGGATTTAAAATGTGGTATAGACACTTATTATGAGGGAATTCTTAACAGCAGTTCTTCACAGCATGGTCTGTGTCAACACTGACCCAAAGGCATAAACTATGAGCGGTACGTAACGGCTAAAAGTTCTGCTGATTAAAGGACGGCTGCTTCCACTGACAGCTGGGTTGCTCATTTTTTCAATTAGCCACACTGCGCTCCAACAATCTGTCCAGGTGACCTATGGGTGACGTCACGGAGCGGTCGTGCATCTTTATAGCAGTCGATGTACTGAGTGAATAAGTCACACGACTGGAAAGAAAACAGCAGGATTAACACAGAACGATGACCTTAAGCAGCCCGGCAGCGCCTCTGCTGAGCTGTCCCCCAAAGTTTATCAGAACCAATTTACAATGTGCCATAAAGATGCTCCAAAGTCCATTTACACTGACGTATTTAAATATGACTGAGGCCCTAAACTAGACATACTAACTTGGCAAGGTAAAGTCGCCGAATGGGAATTATGTTCTTCTCCATTATGTAAGACTCCAACATTTATCACATTTTAGAAGGCAATTTTATCGCGCTGTCAAAAAGCCAGCGATCATACTCGGCGTTTTCTCCCCTGTCAGTGGCTGGTCTATAAATACATTATGTTCTCTCTTTGGATATATTTGATAGTCTCGGTAACAAAGTAATGTGTTGTTTTGATCACTCGGCAATAGGTGTCAAAGCTGGTTTGTCTCCGGTCGCTGAATGAAGAACGGCCTGACATAACTGATGAGACGGCCAGTGTGTGTGCGAGTGTTTGCGCTAAGTTGTGTTCTCCGGGGATGCTTGGCCTGAAGTGATTCTAATAGCATTAGCCACTGTCTGTGTTTGAATGGGCCAACGGTGCGTTAAGTTTCTTCCGACACACTCTTAAGCAAACACACACCTCTGGGAGGACGGCAGTCATCGGGGATCTGCCTCGTGTTTTCTCATACGCTCGATGTTCTCGGCCCACGGTTGCGTGCGCAGTTGCGTGTCACGTGTGCGGCGTGTGCTCTCCGCTGATAACATTATGTCACCTTCGCTGTGTTTTGAGAGGGAAGAGTTTAGGGGATGTCGCTTCGCTCAGTCCGTGTGTCACGCTCAAAGTTGTCAAACACACAAACACCGCAGTGCACGTCATCACTACATGTGCTTCTGGTGAAGGTAATAATAAAAGGAAAAGAGGTTAAAAAACCTCATCTTCTTCTGCAAATTTCTAAACCGATCCTTATAGCTCCTGAAACTCATAATGCGACATTACAGGCAGGCACTTTTTAATAACTTTCCGCTGTAGAAACTGAGGATCGTGTGCCGCGACGTGTCAGATACGCTATCAGCTCCTCTCCAGATGTCCCGATTTTGCTCACAGTAGACGCCTGCTGCAGCTCCACAACTGCCATTTATCATATAGATATTTGCCTTACCTGTGACTGCGATATCCAAAAAATATGCAATTATTGTTTCTGTTCTTATTATCCGAGCTACGGAAAGTTTTAAGAGCCTATAGAGCGCGTACTTTTACATGTTTTCTGCAGGGATTTTCCTGAATTAGTGACTTTTTTTGGAAGGTTTTCGCCATCACAAAAATCACTAATGCCAAAAAGATAAAAACAGCAATTAGTGTTTTAAAACCAATTTTGTTAACAGGGGTTGTCATGTACTCAAGCATAATGGACATTTTTTGTTCATAAAATGGCAAGAAACAGGAAAAAATGCATAGATGTCTGTCACATTAGGCGACAGACTAATTGCCACATGCGGGTCAGTTCTGATGCAGCAGTCACTCTGTGTTTTTATGCATCTTAAAAAGTCGATTGTATTCAAATGCCCTACATATATTGTGAATACTCTGCAAAGACTCTGCAGGATTAACGATTTACACGCGTGAAACGTTTAAAAAAAGTGAATCTCTAATTGTGAACATGCATCGTGAAACCAGATTTGGAATCTCACTTTTATTTTTTAAGCCTCCAATTCCTTATCTTTCATTTTGGAGCTCATTCAATGACTCACTGAGAATGTTAGACACTACTTGTATCCCCCCCCCGGGTGTTATCCATCACATTTTTGATCTCAGCACCCAGCGAGGACGGAAAAAAACCTGCTTTTTTTTTTCATTCAAATTGGCCGCATGAAATGATTGAAACGAAGAATGTGTTGCTCAAACCATCCACAGTATGTTTTTTTACTGTTGTTTTCCATCCAGCCCTTTTTCCTGTGTCTGTCTCAGACTGTCGCAGTGAGTGTGTGTGGGAGGGGAGGGGAGGAAGGGGGGGAAGCAAGTTTTTCCATGGCTCATCACAGCCTTTAGCTCATAGTGCAGCTAAATGGGTGACTGTATATCCGCTACCCCAATTAAGGGTGTTAATGTGTGAGAGCGCCTGTGTGTGTGTGTGTTCAGAAAGTCTTTTTGTGTGTTAGCAATGTGTGTCTCTCCATCTCCGTCGCTCTCTCTCTCTCTCTCTGTCACACATATTCGTCAATCATCGTCATTATAAAAAAAAATAAGAAACCCACCACAGAGGAAGCTCAACCCGGCGCGCAGGAATGTTTTTGAAAAGACACTCACGGCGATAGAGAAGGAGGAATATTTTGGTGCAGAGGGGTTAGCTGCAACAATCTGAATGTGCAAACAAATTTTTTCTTTTTCACAGTGACACAAACATCCAAACAGTCCCACACAGGAGCGCACCGGTTGTCTCCTGCTTAATTGTAGTCGTCGGTAATAGCTGCAGGGTCTCCTTAAGAAGCTTTGTCATGGGAAATAAAACACAGCAGAGTAAGAATAAACTTCCTGCCTCCATAGGAAGCAGCTGTTGCCATGGTAAAGCTAATTTAAAAGGCCAATTATGAGAAGATGAAACAGTGGGCTCAGTTTGAGAGACATGAATGTATGTACGGCATCACGAGCCGGTGATGATTATTAGTGAGTGTGTGTGTGTCGCCGTGTGCGGTGGGTGACTTTCTCCTCATTGCTATCTGCACTCGGTTTAACATCTCGTCAGAGGATTATCTCCGGAGCCGTGAGAGATAGCGGCTACTAAATCACCGCTGTCCCATTTTCTTAGCTTCTAATGAATAGCCTTTAATATCATTACCCTATAAAAACAAAGTCTGCTCTCCCACCGGCACTTAATCCTACTATAGGATTTAGTGCGAACAAACACGCTCGCTGATGCACACACACACACACACACATGTGCACAGAGGGGAAGCCACACCTACACATTACATGTTTGCCAGGAATCTGCTCGTGTTCATACAAATAACATGTTAGTGATGCTAAACCTGTACATGATCTTGCAGTCTGAAACCAATCGTCCAGATGTGCACGTGTCCAGTCGTCGCTTGGCTCCTCGCCCTGACTGCAAGTTGAAAGCAAGAGGAAGTCCAGTGTTGTATTATGCATTCGCTTCAGACTGCTGCCGGCTCAGTGGTTTAACCAAAAAGAGCAAAGTTTCTGTCTTTGTTTTGCGTCCCTCAGCCTCTGAATTCTCAACCAAACACCTGGACTTCTTTCACGATGACAGTTTACTGAAATGAAACTCTTTTTGCACGAGCAGGTGCTTTTAAAAACCAAATAATATCAGTTTTGTGTTCTGTGTTGTATAAATATGTAAAAAAAAAAAAAAAGAAGAAAAGGTAAGATTGCCCACTCCATCATGCAAAAAAAACCGAAAAGTTGTGCACGTGTGTGTGTGTGTGTGTTAGTCTCTGTGAGTGTGTGCCATATTCATAGATGAATGTGAATCCATTCATGAGCTAAGTGGTAGGAGATGGAAAGCCATTTCCTTTTGCACAACACTGCGATGGGGCTAAATGAATCGTCAATGAATGCGCAATGACTGTTGACATTGATTTACTCTGCGCTGTCGTACCTCTCTGCGTGTGTGTGTTTGATGGTGAGAGGTGATTGTTATCAGTAGGCAATGCATTCTGTTATGCAGACAAGTGAGCTGACGATAACGGCATTTGCTTTCGCGGGCCAACGAAAGACTAATGGGCCTTTGGGGCTAAAACAATCATTAAGTGTCTGCGAGTGGTGATGTTATGACGTGGATTTAGTGGTCTGCGGGAGCGACTGCACAGCCAGAGGGCCGTTTATCTCATCAAACATTATCAAATAAATGTTTAAATTAATATTTATTTGCAGAGGCTACATGCTAGTTAGACAGAGCTGCCACCTGAAGCCGTTTCCTTCCCGTAATCTCGGTGTCACTTCTCTTTGTGTTTCAGATCTCAGCTGGGTCGCCATGACAAGCGAGGAGTGTCCTGTGCCGCTGGGGAGCATCTCCTCGGCAGGGCCAGGGCAGAGCGAGGACTACAGCTCGGCGCACGCTGATGACATCATCGAGGAGATGGGTCCAGGTGATGACGTCAGTATCGGCAGCGACCTCAGCACTCTGGTGGTGCCCTTCCCGGAGCTGGCGCCCGTGGTCTTCTTCTGCCTTAAGCAGACCACCTGTCCTCGCAACTGGTGCATCCGTATGGTCTCCAGCCCATATCCTTTGACTGGCTGATGGAAGCGGCCCGTTTGACCTTAAGATAACTCGTAGTTACACCACAATCCTCAGTGTTCTCGCTCTCCGAATACCCACTAGTGCTCATAAATCATCCCCAAGTGCATATTCAATCATCTCTTCGTCTTTAACTCTCTGAAACCCAACAGTTCCTCACTTTTTTTTGCTCCTGTTGCAGTTTTACTACTCATATTTTACTGCACCTCTAAAGAAAATGCAAAAAACAAAAATATAAATCTATCAATCATAAAAAAAAAGTAGAAAATGTAATAAACACAGGGATCAGCATGAGCAAACGTCTTCTATTTCCCCATCAATCCCTATTAAAAAAAGACAAATAGATATTTTACTTCTTACATTTGGAGTTTGTTTTTCTTTTTTTTTGTGAACACAGGCTGCAGTTCAGCCCAGTTCAGTCAAACTGTTCCTGAATTCTTACCACATGACTGTTATAGAACAATATATTTTGCTTTCCACAGAATCTGGTTGATGTAAATATTTTATTTTAGGTGCATTTTTATATGGGACATGTAGGAAGAAGTGATTTTGATGGAACATATTGTGATTTTAAATTGGATCAGATTTTAATGACGTAAATTTGAGAGTCAAACAGTTCTTCAGATGGATAATTCTAATAAATTCTGTAATTTCGCCTTTTTTTTTTAAATAAAAGAAAGAGAACATGTTTCAAAGCAGGTTTTTGGGTTCAGGGGGTTAAATCCATCCCATTATTCTTTACCTCTTTTATCCATTTGTACACCTTTCACACGGCAGTCACCCCTCCACCTTCCCTTTTTATCTGCTTCACTAATAACGCCGCTCCCCTCTCCTCTACCTCTTTTAGAGCCTTTTTCCCACTAATCCGTCGCCCATTTTTGCAGAGTCACAATTCGACTTCTTTGTGCGTCTTTTTTTTTTTTGCGTTCCTTTGATACGTCTTCATCCATCTCGACTCTGACCTAACACACCAAACCCCATTAACTCCCACCGCTTCATTTTGCGGATTTCCTACCAGCAGTGCTGCGGTCGTCCCAGAATCCTCTCAAAGTAAGTGCGTTTGACGGTTTCATGCAGCAGTCGCCGTCTAACTGCTCGGAAAATTAGATGCAAGACGCATTTACGAGCGTGCTTTTCTGTGTGTGTGTGTGTGTGTGTGTGTGTTCTCGAGCGTCTGCTTTTAGCTTTTGCTCAGAACAGGTAGTTGTGCTGACTATGCTCACGATGCCGGTGGGAATAAGGATGATTCGTTCACATTAGGGCAGAGAAGAACTCACTGGGCTTGCTGTTGAGCTTGTGAGTACATCCAGGTGTAATATCACGATGGCACCGTTTACCCTCAACAGACAGAGAGCAGGGCTCTAAGGATGTCTGCAAGCTGCTTCTTTGGTCAGTCGGTCAGTTAAAGCGTCTCTGAACGTGTGACTTGTTGTCGTGTGAAGGAAACGGAAGTCTTTTTTTTTTTTTTTTTAACATTTTAAAATCTTAACGTCAGGCAGATGCTGTATGTTTTATGTTTTTTTTTCACATCACAGAGTAGCATGATGAAGCTAATTCGCTAACAAGGGATGTTGCGATATATTGATATCTTTACAAATAAAATACTGATGCCGTGTTATAATACACATATGATGATAATATTGTAAATAACTCAGTAACTGTCTCTAAAATAGGAGAAACATACAATTATGAATACAGATGCTCTCTTCGTCACTCTGGGAGATTTCTGTATTGTTATCATGAATTTGCTTTGCCATAATAAAAAGCTAACAGTAGTTCGACTGCAAATCGTGTTTGGATTCTCCAGCAATGAAACATTTTTAAGTACATCTAAGAAACTTCAATGCTCTTTGCTGGGATTGTTGTGTGTGTTGCAGGATGTTTACTGCAACGTGCTGCAGTGTCGTGTCAGTTTACGTCGCCACAGTGCAGCTAGTAAACCGATGCATGCATACACGGCGTGTGATGGTACAACTTTTCAACAACATATCATAATGTGAGCATCCTCTTTCAGCTTTCAGTGTGTTGTCAGTACACGGCAACAGGAATTATAGTATAGCAACATAACATTTTGACGCGCTGTTTATCCAGATTGTGTGGTTCCAGACAGACGGACAGCTGCTTAAAGTTGGCAGAGAGATCTTCTCGGATGAAACCGCTTGTTTTGCTGATGAACGTACTTCACTCAGTCCTACGCGTGCATTCATGCGCTGCGTTTCAATCATGGTTTAAAAGTAGTTATTCAGATTATTTGGATTCATGCTTTTGGATGGAAACAACCAGACCGATTGCGGGGATGTATTGAAAAGGAAAGAAAGGGATTAAACGATGGAGGCCGTTAAAGGAATTGATTCCGAGCACACGGAGGCAGAGTTTTACGACCGCAATCTTGTCGAGCGTCGGCGCAAAAGTCCATCAAGCGCCTTGTAATTTTGTGACTTTGCAACCCGTGCGTTTACCGCCAGCCAGCGAGGGGAGACTAATACCGTAGTAATATGTCTGTATTACAGACAAACAACTGGGTGTCCAGAAAATCGGAAAGACAGACGGAGAGTGTGGGCAGTCGGACGGACAAAACTGGACGGCGAGACTTTCTGTTTGCCTTTCAGACTCCGTCTTTGATGTTTGAGGGAAGAGAGGTTTCAGAAGGATTTTACACTGCTTGCTAATGGCTGAGCTCTGCTGCTCTCAGTTGGCCCCCACGCCACAGGGTACAAACACACACACACACACACACACACACACACAAACTCCCAAATCTTGTTTCACATTGCCTGGGCTTCTATTGCACCAAACCAATTGCTCATCGGACGCCTTTGGTGGTTGAAGCACGTTAAAACACCGGTGTGTGTGTGTGCGAGAAAAATACAAGTGAGTGAGTGTGAAAGGTGAAAGAGATTGCGTGTAGCGGTTTGAGGGGAGGTGGTTTTCCTCTGGCGGATAGAAACACACACACAGCGGCTGTGATGGTGCTGCTCCTGCTTTTTACTGCGGCTACGTCAGTGTGAAGCCTGCCTGTGTGCGCGAGCGAGCGAGTGAGTGAGTGGCGTTGTGTGTGTGGGATGGCAGTGTATTCACAGGCTTTGTAGGAGCATGTGTGTGCATCTGCTGTGTGTGTGTGTGTGTGTGTGTGTGTGTGTGGGACTTAAACTGGAGCAGGAGTTTGATGTTTGGTGCATTGGAGCAATGTTTTGTGCCCGTGTGCGTATTGATCGCAGTAGCTGTGTATATAAATACGTTGCTTATGCACTGACCACATATGAGGGCTTTTTTTTTTTTGTCTGCGTCGTCGACGAGCACCGCTGCGGTGAGATTATAAGATGAGCCTCATTTCACTGCCGTCAAACTGTGTTTTTGTGGTGCTCGGCGCGATTCGTCTCGGAGTAAACTTGGTGTCGGTGCGTGTGAAGGAGGGCAATAAGTGGTTGTTTCGCCATCTCTTTGCAGATCAATAATTCTGTCCACTGCTCAGTAGCTGTGAGAGGCCTTCAGCGACACACACACACACACACACACACACACACACACACAGAGTGATGCTATCCCACGCGTTGCCTGCAGCAGAGCACCTGGAGCACCTCTCTTTAATGCACCCCACACACTTCTTCTCCCTATTGTTCTCACACTCTGTACATGTTACACAACGCAGATGAACCCCTTCAAACGCGTCGTACTAATCTCGCCTCATTCATCCTTTTTTTCAAATGCGTTCACGGCGATGTGATTGTGAGATTTGACTTTCCTGCTACAAACTTCAGGCTGTTTTTCCCCCCACCTTCGTTCATTCTCCTCCTTTGTGTGTTTTCCTGTTTTCCCGCTTGTGTTTTTTATTTTCTCTCGCTGTAAACAGAAGGTCTGCGTTGCTTCAGTAGCAGCTGTCACCTCAATGCTGTCAAGACTGATAGCGGATCAGATGTGTGTCTCATTGCAATCAATCTCAATTTTTAACGGATTCTCTGCAGAGCGCTGATGAGGACAAGCGTTTTGCAGGATGTATTGTACGTGCAGTTGGAAAATTCCAAATTGTTCTTTTAGTTTCCAACCAGGGGTTTATTGGCTGGTCTCTCCTCCTGGTGATGCTAGTTCATGTTCAAACTACCCCACTGCCTTCTCTTTCTTACTTGTTCATCAGGTCGTTGGTTGATCTTCCACCAGGGATTGGTTTTGCTCATGTTTTCAGCTATTTTCTGAATGTTTGCACCTTCCTGAGGTTGCTCTTGGTAGTTTCTGCCCCGTAAAATAAGACAGTCTGATATTTGTGTAGAGTTTTGTCAGCAGTCTTGAGATCTGGAGATTCTTGAGCTGCAAGAAAGCTCTTCGGGTTTTTCTAGTTCTTGAGCTGCATCAGGGGCACCTCAGCAATGTGAAGGTCTCCGCCTCCTCTGGTCCGGTTTCACGATCTCTTCGCTGGCTGTGTTGAAGCCCTGTTCACACGGCACATGTCATTTGTTACCTGTTTGTTAACTTCTCCCATTGGAAGCACATAACATCAGACGTCTAGGATTCCTCCTCTTTGGAAGTGGTGCTCAAGTAAAATGATGAATCAAAATTGGGGAATTTTGTCTGATTGAAGCCGAGTGCACAATATGGGAGAACATCTATTGGCTCCTGTTCTATGCTTTGGTGCAGCCTGACTAAGACACAGCTTTTCCCCCATGGCTGTGAAGAGACTGCTGCAGGAACCACGACACTCCCTGTATACGGACTCATTCTAACAAATGCTCTTCTGAGTATTTATTTTATTATTTCAATCACCTTTTCAGTTTTTTTCTTGTTAGCTGCTGCACAGATGATGCCAAACAAAATGTATTTCTTGTTCCATGACAATAAAGCTTCTTTGTCGTTTTACTGGAGGTCGTGCTGCGAGTGTTTGTCGCTAAACTCTCCATCTTGATGATTTTTTTTTGGTCTTGATCGGTAAAAGGTGACCGAATCAAAGCACATTTCTCATGATGCATTCAATACAAACAGTTTGGTAGCATTA